AGTTTTTTTTTTTTTTTTGTTATTTAGGAGTACAAGAACAACACACACTCCTTTGGCAAGCTTGTTCATACACTTATAGCAAATGAATTTATGTTGTCCACATTAGGAATAGTGGCATGACAATGGTGTTATGAGCATATTACTTGTGACAAATCAATACTTTTATGATAAAATTGATCGAAATAATTTTAAAAAATTAGCAACATTTTGATTAGGATTACAAGGAAATGACAAGAATGTCTTTCCATTTTGACATATATTAACTCCTCCTCTTAAAATGCTTCATACACAAAAAAAAAAAAAAAAAATCATAGCACTTATTTAGTGACCGTTTTTAAAACATTTTGAACGATACCTTAAAAAACACTTGAATTACTATCTTTTTATTTTTGGTAAATACGTAAACTTTATTCCCCCCACCAAAAACCTCGCCTACTTCACGCACTCTTAGCCTTCCTCTCTGCTCGAAACCCTATATCGATCAATTGTTATCCCTTCCCCTCTTATGATTTTTCCTAAGACCATCATCTTACTAACCGAACCCTCGCGATACTCTCACCTTTTGAGCTAGGTATGGGAAGGAAACAATGGGGTCGCCACTAGCTATGGGAAGGCAACAATGAGATCACCGTATAAATTTAAACCATCGAGAATACATATCTCTCCTCCTTCGACATCCCTCCTATAGGAAACCATTCAGGAAGATATGATTGTTCGCAACATAAAAGAAGATTTACTCATTATTGATGTTTTTTTATGGCTTTTGTTCCAACTTCCTATTCAATAATTCATCGGTTTACCTTTATAGTTAGCACAACTTTAACTACATTTTCTTATTTGAAGTATTAGCATTAGAATGCCTCTTCTTCAACAATGCGAGCCTTAGCTTTATATTTTGTACTTATTGAAAGTTATCAAAACTCATTATTTTGGATTGTTTAATGTATAATTCATAAACTTAATCATTTTGCTCTTCTATAAATTTGCTTTTCTTAAAACTCATTTAATCTTTTCTTCAGTTGTTTATACAAGATTTTATTATATTCTCTTAAAGATAAACATTATCTACTGTAATTAAAAATGTGGAGCTTGACAAAATGAATGACATCACTTTATCTACAAAAAAATCCCACTAGATTGGAATGATGTATAACAAAGTAGCAATATGCAAATCTACCAGAAATTATTCACTCAATTAATAAAAGAAGTGGATAGTTCAATGACAGGATTTTCTAATACAAATATGTTGTGAAAAACAACGACAATAAAGCAAAATCCGGATCGAGAAAAATCACAAAACAGAAACACAACAGAAACACACAAATTTACATGGTTCAACAAATTGCCTACGTCCATAGAACTGCAAAGAATTTTATTACCTCGAGGAATACACCCGTCGACCACCTCGACAATTACAAGAAAGAATTTCTCTCTCTCGCTCTCTTCTCTCTCTCTACCCGAGAGCTTCAAACCGAAGCACACCATAATAAGAACCTGGAAAGCTGACAATGCTGAAGAGAGATGCCTGGGAAACCAAATCCCGAGAGAGATTACAAGGGGAGCTAGCATACCTATTTATTAATTTGATCATGTCATTATGCTCATTAAGGAATTAATCAAATAATTAATGGAACCCCATTAATTATTTCCTTTTTCTCATCTGCAGCAAATCATATAAGGAATTAAAAATAATTAATTTCAAGTATCAAATCCACTTTGCTTACAAACATGAGATAATGTCAATTTGAGCAGTAGATCAGTTTCCCTATTCAGAACAACATAATATGAGCATAATATGAATAAATGTGGAAAAACTTAAGGTGTCGTATATCACAAAAAGACCAATTACTTCAACAACTTACTTTCTTTAAAGAGTTTCAACTAGAACTAAGAGATAACGATGCAAGCAAAATAATCAGAGAAACTCAAATTTAGCTTATTTCTTGAGGAGTTTATATGCAATTTTAAAAAGGATAATTTGAAAATGAGTTCTAATTTTATCATACTGGCCTCTCTTGAATAGTTCCGAAGCAATTTAAAAAAGATCTTATGGATATGAGATTCAAATTTTAAGGACTTAAAATATTATTATATTGGTCTCCCTTGAAGAGTTTAGAAGCAATATAAAATTTCTTTTCTTCCTTTCAGTAATTGGTTTGACTAAGCACTTCAATCTCCCATTTGAATGAAAATTTCTTGAATAATAGTATAGATTACATTGTTCTTAGGCTTTTCATGTTACAAACTCAATTAATTTCACTGCACTTGTTTAAAATAATCCATTTAGCTTAATTTTCAAAATTACACAATTATATCTAAAAATTCATTATTTTTAGTTAGAAACTATCTTGAAATTTATAATTTTTTCCTCTTGAAAAGTATTCCTCATAATCACAATAGAATTTTTTTTCATAATAATTATGTTATGGATATGTTGGCACTTAGAGTTTGTTTGGGGCAACTCTAGCTTATTGAATAATATGTTGATAAACTGATTATAAATAATATGCTGATAAGTTAGGTGTGGTGGCTATTACAAATTTCTATTTTTTTTGGAAAAGCCGAACTGCTGCCAGAAATCTGCCACCCCACCTAGATAGGTGTGGTGTGAAAACGTTGTTTTAAACATTTTCAAAATGCATAAGCTGTCAAAATGCAGTTTACCCAAGCAGATCATGTGTGTTTTCAAAACACCATCGCACCAAATAAGCTGCCTCAAACGGACCCTTAGCTCCTTGAGCCGTAGGAATTCATATTTTTTTGAGTGTCTCTCTGATGTTTTTGAAAACATTCAAAGATCTTTTGGCAAATGCATATGGTGACATTCAAAAATAAAAAATGAAAATTTCTTTATATTACTAATTATATATTTTTATTTTATTTTTAGATAGTCAAGGGACTTCGGTGGAGCATAAGGGATGAAGATCTTCAAAATCTAGCTCACGTAGAAGTAAACGATTATGACTTGTCATGCAGCTTATCAAAGTCTAATATATTGGGATCATCTATGGGTGTTATTACTAGATATTCTGTATTGATATCATTTTCTAATTGGCGCAATAAGGGTGTTGAGCCTTTAAGAAAATGATGTTGATAAAAATAAATGTATTTTCTGTTAAATATATGGAACCCGTGACTTACCTACCTCACATTTCGCGCCCCAAACAAACTCTAAGTGACTTATCAAGGCGCTCGACGGCATAATTTCTCGAAGTAATAAAATCCTCTGCAGTTCCGTAAACGTAGGTAAATTAGCGGAATCACGTAAATTTGTGTGTTATTTTCTAATTTGCAATTTTTCGATCAAATTTTTTCACTTTATTGCCGTCATTTTTCATAACATTTTCAAAAGATTAAATAATTTATATTATTATTTTTTGTTCATTCATAATTTTTAAGCAAATAATTTTACTCTAAAATGAATTTTTTGGTCATATACATCATTGGATTCTGAAATCCCTTTGCAAAATGGAGTAACTTGAAATTAGAGCAGTCGGATTGCCATCCCATATAGATGATCATGGAGGATGATCCTCAGAAAATAGACACATTTCCCATTCACCTAACACTGATGACCACCAGACAGGCCGCAGCTGGCTGCCACTACCCCTACCTTGGCCTGAGGTCCAATTTTGCTAACTTAGGGGTCATTAACCTATTCATTTCACCTCCTTACAAGAAAATTCAATTATTCAAATATTTATCGTTAAATAAACACACACGAGGAGAGAGAGAGAGAGAGACCCAGGATCATGGGAGACAGGATGGCAAATATTTTCTATGCAGGAGCCGGCATGGGCTTAAAATGCACGTCTTACTCTCTCTCTCTCTACCATTGGTGCAGGAGTTGCAGGCGAATCTTGGGGCATGCTGCGTTCAAGGGAGATCTTTAAAGTGTGATCTCCGCCGACGTCGGTCCAAAAATCCACGCCTACCATAGCTCCCCTAACTCCTCCCACAACATTTTGTTCCCTCACTCCTACATTATACTCCTGCTTAAAATATTTAATTACTTAGCACTCAAAATTTTAATATGATGTCAAAAATATCATCATAATAATAATAATTATGTTTATGTAAATTATATTTTTCATCCAAATATTACGAATATAAATATCAAATTTAAGGCATTTACATGCGTACCACCTCATCTCTGCATAGTTCGTAGTTCCTACAACTTTCAAGTCCAGCCTTTGTGGCTTACGGAAGTAATATGTACTTTTGAAATATTATGACCAAGACCTATAAATAGATGTTCATATTATGAATAAATGACACATTTTATCTGTTTGCTATTGTTCTCTTTCTCCTACTTCCCCTCTCTCTTAAGCACTTAATAGAAAATTTCATTTCTTAATTGTATTTATAGGCCTAGGTCAAATATTATAAAAGTACATATTCTCTCCTCCCATAAAGTTTCTCATTTCTTGCAGACATTGTTGAACAAATTCTTTCATGAACGGGTGCATATTACTTTTCATTCATTTTTATGGAAGGACTCTCTCTGTTGTTGTTGTTCGTCTCTTCTTCTTGTTGACGACATGATCCTACGCTCACCGCACCTTAGAGAATGTTGAATCCATGAATGTACGGGAAACACACTTAAAAAATGACACATTTTATTAGTAAGTGCTTAAGAGAGGAAGAGGAGAAAGAGAGAGAGAGAATAATAATAGACAGACAAAATGTTTCATTTATTCATAATATGGATTAGAAGATAATATTTTCTTCATCTTAAAGCTTCATTTGAAACAATGGAGAATATTTGTTCGATTGGAGCAAACGTCCAAGACTCAAAAAATTTTGTTGGGTGAAACAGTAAGAGATGAGTATCTTTGAAATTTCATTTGATAAGAATGATAAATTTTCACCATTTCAAATCGCAGCTCTTGTCGTGTCTTCCAACAACCTGCTATTTCAAATCAACCTCATACTCTCTCTCTTCTCTCCATATAAAATACCATCTCATCTTCCCACTCCTCACCCATCCCCAACACTTAGCAATCAACCAACCCACCATGCCCTCAGCAGCCCACAACCTCCTCATCCACCTCCTCATCTCCATTTCCACCGTTGGTTCCACCCTCTCACCTTCCCCTTCCCTCACCTTCCTCCCCTCCCAAACCCATGCTGCCGCCGTCGACTTCGGCTCCACCACCCATTCCCTCCCCCTCGCCGTCCTCCTCCCCTCCTCCCCCTCCCAAATCTCCTCCCTCATCCTCTCCGCCCTCCTCTCCCCCCCCCCCCCCCCCCAAACCTCCTCCCTCACCCTCTCCGCCCTCCTCTCCTCCCCGCCCCTCTCCGTATCCCCTCGCGGTCACGGCCATTCCCTCCACGGCCAGGCCGGCGCTCCCGGCGGCGTTGTCATCTCCATGACCGGCGGAGGCGGAAGGCGCAGAATGTCACCTCCGGCAAACTCGATCGCCGGAAATATGTACGTGGATGTGTGGGGAGGAGAATTGTGGATCGATGTGCTGAATTGGACGCTGAAGAATGGCGGATTGGCGCCGCGTTCGTGGACGGATTATTTGTATCTCTCGGTGGGAGGAACTCTGTCCAACGCAGGGGTCAGCGGGCAGGCTTTTCACCATGGACCGCAGATCAGTAACGTGTTTGAGCTCGATGTGGTTACTGGTAACAAAACTCTTCTTTTTTTCAATCGAAAGTTCAAGAAAAAAATATTACATGAGTACTACTTATTTACAGTAACGTGCGTAGTCAATGAAATCACGTCATAACACCTCACACGACAGAAAAAAAAAACGGCGTGTTAACACGAGAAATATTCTCTCACGTGTTATTGATTTGTTATTGTGTGTTATTCATGTGTTATTGTGTCCTGGAAATATTTCTGGTGTTATAATAACACAATAACATATTAATAACACACAATAACATATGAATAACATGGGAGGAGTATTCCCCCGTGTTACCGCGTCATTTTTTTCTCTGCCGGGAATGTTTTTCCGTGTTATTCTGGATGTTATTGTGTTATTCATGTGCTATTGTATCTTGAGAATATTCTTGGTATTTGAGAATATTCTGTATCTTGAGAATATTCTTGGTATTATAATAACACAATAATACATCAATAACACATGAATAACATACAATAACACATGAATAACACGGGGAAATATTTCCCGTGTTGATATGTCGTAGCGTGATTTCATTAGCTACGCACGTTACTCTACGTGCGTAGTACTGATGTAATATTTTTTGAAGGTCAAGGGTCTCTTTGGGACAGCTTATAGTGCAGAGACATTTTTGAAAAAAACTATCATTTGGATTGCACATTTTGTCTGTTTATCCAAAAACGCGAGCCGCGAAACGCACAAGCTGCCCCATATCCATGCTAAATAAAAATTTTTATCGTTGTACATTTTCAAAGGGGGGAAATTTACATTCATATCTTTGCATATTTCACCCCAAAACTTTAACTTTTACATGCATCGCACCAAATCCACACTATTAACAGTGAAATTCAAATTCTTATGTATAAAAAATAGAATTTTGGCGTGAGATACGGAAAAGCTAAATTTCTGATTTTTAAAAATGATGAATTTATTTTGAGATAAACGAAATATGATTTTATTTAAGTATTTATATGTTGTATTAATTTTAAATAAAAATTAATTTTTTTTATATTTATTCTCTCAACCTTTGATCGGAATATTGTCGGTTAATTTTTTGTGTTGACTGTAAATAGTAATTAAGAAATAGTGTAATTAAGATATTTAAAGATAATATTTAAGGTAAATCCAAAGAAAGGCCAAAACATTTGACGGAAGAGGTTGTCGGGAAAGAAATCATGATACGGACCATACGGTGCCCTTTTTGACACGTGATCTAAAAAAAAGGGATAAAATTGTAATTTTATTTTAGAGCTCGTTTTTTAATTAATTAGTTTATATAATTTAGCATTTCGAGAGATAAATGCTAAATTATGAGAATTATTTGGTTGAAAAGATAAGAAAGCGAGGAAATTATTTTACATAATTTTGAAGATATAATAATGATATCTTAATTAAATGCATTTTACATACCCAATTCCTATGCATTTTGCATAAAAAGGTGTTAAATTATGCAAAATTGGGGACAATTACATACCCAATTCTTATGTATTTTCATATTACCAATTCCTATGTATTTAGATATCTAACACCTAAAATTTGCTTTTTTTTTACATTTATACCGCTCAAAATTTTCAAATCACATGAAAAATATGACAAGTTTTAACTTTTAAAGTGAAATACACCATATATATATATATATATATATATATATATATAAATGTAAAACTTGATCTCTATGTAAATACATAGAATTGAATGGTATGAATGCAAATATTCCATAAGTCAACATAAATTACTGTAAATTACTTTCTTTTTAGCTCTAAAAACCTTGAAGATTAAGATATATATAGCATGGTAAGAAAATAAACATCCCTTTATTTTGCAGTAGCAGTAGAAACAATATCTATATTATATATAACTGTTTAACTTAGAGAAACTTAAATTAATTAATTATGATTAATCATGGCTTAGTAGCTCATAAGCTTGTATTTTGCAGGGAAGGGAGAGTTAGTAACTTGCTCACTGGCAGAGAATGCAGAGCTTTTCCATGCTGTTCTTGGTGGCTTGGGGCAGTTCGGAATCATAACCAGAGCAAGGATTGCCCTTGAGCCCGCTCCACAAAGGGTTAGTTCTATAATATTGCATTTATTAAATGATTGTTAAAATTGCACCTTCAACCATGCATATGCTGATCAATTTTGCAAGTTATATCCAACAATTGCCCATATTTATGGTTGTCTCAAATCTCTATTTTGTAACCAGGTTAGATGGATCCGAGTTCTTTACTCGAACTTCACCTCCTTCACAAGGGACCAGGAGCGGCTCATCTCGCTCCATAACCAACAAAGGTTCGACTACATCGAAGGTTTTGTCATTGCCGAAGAAGGCCTTATCAACAATTGGAGATCCTCCTTCTTCTCCCCTTCCAATCCCCCCGTGACCCTTAGCTCCATCGGCGGCCGCCAGGGAGCCGTTCTCTATTGCCTTGAACTCACCAAGAACTACCACCACTCTTCCTCCGACTCTATCGATGAGGTCAGGCAATCTATCTTAAATCTTATCACGGGAAGATCTAATGTTTAGGCGGTAGATATGCAAAGTACATGGTATGTATGTAAATATAACATTAAGGCATGCAAATAATATAGTTTGCATGGAATTTTGGTGGGGTTGGTTGTTGTTATATGTTAATTAATGTATCTTCTTCGTTAGTTGCAATCACATGCGTGCATGAAAGGAGATCTCAATAGACTGGATTTTGTTCTATCAACTTTTATTATTATATTACCTATTAATTAATTAACGCTAATTGCAGATGTAATTAATTAATTAATTAATTTAAATCTGATGTTATATTTTCAGGAAGTGGAGGCTCTGCTGAGGGAACTGGACTTCATACGGGGTTCGGTTTTCACAACGGACTTGGCTTACGTTGATTTCCTGGACCGGGTTCACAAGGCCGAACTGAAGCTGAGGGCTAAGGGGCTGTGGGAGGTCCCGCATCCCTGGCTCAACATTTTTGTGCCCGCGTCCCGCATAGAGGAATTTGATCGTGGGGTCTTCCGGGGCATTCTTGGAAATAACACCAGTGGCCCAATTCTCATTTATCCCATGAACAAGGACAGGTTGGTACATATATACACACCCATTTATGCCCCAACAATATATATATATATATATA